ACTACACTGGGAAAATTTTCCCTCAGAAATTGCTTGTAAATTTCACAAATAATTACGGCAAGTGACGCATTTAATTAAATGTGAAATTTTGAAAGATTGAAATAGTGTTTTCTTGTAAAATCTGTTTTATTTACAATTTTTTAGAGTGTACATATAACTGTGAATGTTGTACAGAATGTAGTTGGAGGCATTGAAAACCCTGTTTACACCTGGCATTATCATTGGTTTCGGTTGATCTGAACACATGTGCTCATTATGGACACATTATGTTTACACCTGGTAATAACATCCATCTCAAATGTGTCTCCTGTGACCACATATGATTGAGGGGTCGAAGGGAGGGCCTCTGATTTCATGCCCTCATACATCAGCATCAATACTGTATATGACTACATGTTGATAACGCATAGAAAATGAAAACCTCAGAAAAAAATACTGGTAATATAGTCAGTCAATTTAGATATCCATGTTTCATATCCAGTTAAATTTATTCATTTGCGTTCAGATGTTTTTATTTAGAGTTAATTATCTGTGTCACTGCATACTGAAGATGTTCTCCACAGTCTGTATTTGGAATGCATGACATATTGTGCAGTATTTTTATTTATTTATTTTTTTTAATGCTAAACGCTAATTAAACAAAATAGACTTGAATTATAATGTCTACTTTTAGCACTTAAAACTATAAATAATTTTTGAGTGTTTTAGTTGAATTATTATTTTTTTTTTTAACACATTTTTACACCAAATGGTATATAAATTTCATATTGGCCCATTATAACATCATCATAATTATTGGATAGAAATTATAAAATTGTTTCATAGTCTATATATGCATGAGCTTTTCCAAAATATTCAAATTATCATCTACTTCCTATGTAATGGGCAAACTTTAAGTTGTTTTTTGTAGTTCAAGTGATTGGATCACAAAATGATTTGGCCTTTTTGTTTTACACCTCTACTTTGCGCTGTCTATTGGATTGGGATGTTTACACCTAGTGTTAAAGGGATAGTTCACTCACCCTTATGTCGTTCTAAACCGGTATGAATTATTTCATTCTGCAGAACACAAAAAAAAGAAGGATATTTTGAAGGTTGTTGGTAACCAAATCATTTTGGTGACCATTGATTTTCATTGTATGGGCAAAAAAACTTTCTTCTTTTGTTTTATACAGAAGAAGAAAAGCCATACAGGTGTGTAACAACATGCTTTTTGGTGATCTATCCCTTTAACAAGAAAATCTCTGTTGGACCTGTGGCTAAGCACTTAGGACGTGGTTTGACATGTTAAGCTAGTGTTGCTCATTTGAGCAATGTGAGTTGAGTCCCTCTTCCTATCAATAAGAGTGTCAGAAAGGCTGGTAAAAACATCATTCGGGACATCCCAAATTTAATTGAGCCTCAGAACGGCTAAACACCCCAAAGACAAAATGCAGAACCCGTATTTGTCTCATCTGGTTCCCACCCACTCCAGACACACGCTGATTTTATTCCCATCTGTAACTGTGTGTCGTAACCTCTCACGCGTGACAGTGTGAGTGTGACTGAGGGTGTCTGTCACCTCTTAATGATGTATGCCTGGCCAGTGAAGAGGTCACTGTTATAGACGGGATGGTCAATTGCCCTTGTTCAGCAAGCAGCATGGTGAACGCTCTCCCTGTAGACTCTGCCATTAAACTGCACTGCGTCCCGACCCAGACATAGACGTATTAGCTCTCTATCATTCTTATTGATCACTGGAAGGCACGAGCTTCTGTCTAATCAAATGCCCATTAGTCTGTGTGTGTGTGTGTGCAGTGCTGCTTTTTGTAGCCAGACAGACAGTGAGATCATGCTGTTCTCACTGTGTGTGTGGCAGAGAGCAGAAGGAGCTCTAATTTAGCTTAAGCAACATTGACACAGTCGCCGTTCCTGAGTCCTGGCAGCACATCGCCGTCTTCCTAATTCTATTTTGCATTCTGAAGAGGATCTTTTTAACTGTGGGATGTTTTTGGAAGGGTATGTAATTGGGTGAGCGCCGTCCCGTCCTCTGCCGTTTGGCCTGAATTGTGTTTATTGCTGGAATTCTGCTAATGGGTTGCTGTGGGAACTTAGCCAAATGTCCACAGCGCTGCAAGCATCACGGACCAAACCAATGGCCCTTCACATGAATTATCATGTCCTACTTAAAAAAAAAATAAACAAGCTTTTGGACCTTTTGGGAGCCTTTCACATGTAGAAGTTCAAACCCAAGAGTTGTTGAGCACTCTAGTATTCTGGTGCTTTTGTTTTAAATGCACAATCTGGAACTATGTGTACGTTACATCAGCCAGCACAACAAAACACTTGACATAATCTACTGCGTAGAAGCTATTATTACTGTCATTTGTAATTAAAAAGTGAATTATAGTATATCTCTGCCAGTTACAGACAATGCAAACACGCAAAAAGACACATACACTGAAGCGCAAAGCAGGTATTTTTTTTTGTGAGTTTTAGCTGTTTCAAACCCTAGTGAGTTACTTTGCAGTCTACAATATAGTCACCTGCCTATTAAGTCTACAATTTTGGAATGCATAAGTGCACAATTGATTACAATAGAGCTGGACATTAGCAAAAATGTAGCACACAAATATTGAATAATATAATAAATGTTAAATTAAAATTAATTCTTTTTTTGAATTATACTTTTTGATATCGAATGAAATGTGCATTATGGGATTGCCATTTCAAGGATACATGCTGTGCTACCTTAAGGTGCAGTCACATTTAACATTGTTGGGCGAATGTTCATGGTTGAAAGTCATTTCAACAGGAATCTGTGCAATAGGACATTTAGCTTGTGAATGCTATTGACAGGAACTTAAACAATTGATTCCAAAAGGGTTGGACATTAGCATGTTACAAAAAAGTACAGTACACCACACACAAATACTGGATTAAATAATACATGGTAAATTAAAATGAATACTTTTTTCCAATGTTTTTGGTCTTGAATAAAATGAAAAAGTGACGTGACATGTGGCCAAGTATGGTGACCCATACTCAGAATTAGTGCTCTGCATTTATCCCATCCAAAGTGCACACACACAGCAGTGAACACACACACACCATGAACACACACCCGGAGCAGTGGGCAGCCATTTTTGCTGCGGCGCCCGGGGAGCAGTTGGGGGTTCGGTGCCTTGCTCAAGGGCATCTCAGTCGTGGTATTGAAGGTGGGAGAGAGCGCTGTACATTCACTCCCCCCACCACCTACAATCCCTGCCGGTACGAGACTCGAACCCGCAACCTTTGGGTTACGAGTCCGACTCTAACCATTAGGCCACGACTTCCCCTCTATGAAGGATACATGCTATGCTGCCTTAAGGTCTACTCATGTGTACCATTGTTAGGTGAATTTTGAGGTCAAAAAAGTCATTTCAATAGGAATCTGCACATTTGAGAACTTAAATTGAACTGAGGTTGAAAGATTTCCCCATGCAGATCTTGCTCGAGTTCAAGTTGGTCATGTGAATTTACTGCGTCGACCAACAGAAAGCTGCTTGGTTTGAAAGTGACTTTGTGAGCTGTGCTTTATAATTCAGTTGACAATAGATCTTTTTACTCATGAAATTTCTCAGAAATTTGAGTTGAAAAGTTGAGTTGAAAATTTCAGAATGTCTTTTGCTGTATAGGTTGGCCGCTTTCTAAGGTTTGGAACCGCTTATGTCTCTCTAATAAACATGAAAGTGGAATAACTCTTTTCTCTCTCTCCCTCTCTCTCTCACTTACACTGTCTCTTGCTCCTTCGGCTGATGTTAATTGAGTCTAATTGAAAAGAAAACAAAAAGAGGGAGTCTTTTGTGGTCCAGATCTTTGATTGGGTTGTGGTGTAGAGCTTGTGTCAGCTGGAGAGGACAGAAAACAAACGAGTCGTGGCCTGGTCATCAACGGGGCCATTAAACCCACCTTCACCTACTCAGGTTGCTTAACACATCAAAGCTCAGCACTGCCCTCAATCAGTGTATGTTTGTGTTTATGTGTAGGATGCTTATTTAAAAGCATATGGGCACTTGCTTATTCTGATCAGAAATCGTAGGTGTAAAGTATCATAAAAAAAAAAGAATGCTGATTTGTGTTGGCCATTAAAGTCTTTAAGAGTAAATCCAAATTATTGGCTGTTTTGCCTAGTTCTACCTGGGATCAACAATACAAATGTGGCATCTATCCATCCATCCATCCATCCATCCAAAAAAAAAATTTAAACTTAAATTTAATTTTTTAACCAAAAATGTATTAATTCATTTTCAGCTTTTTAAAATACGGTTTTATTAATATTTATTTATTTTATTTTTAAATTAATGTATGTTTTTTAATGATTTATTTATTTGTTATTTAAGAAATCTTTTAATAATTATTTACTTTTTGGATTTTGATTGTTTTTTGATCATTTGATTAACATTTCCTATGGAAATATTAATCCAATTACATTTATCCATTTATAAGTGTGACTTTAATTGTCCACAGCATGTCTCACTCTGATTTCAGAAATAACACCACCAATTTTTTTTCAGTATTACATCTGTGATGAGATGCTTAACATTAGGCTACTTAGAATTTTGACTCGTCAGCCCAGAAAGCTGAATACGAATTTGGTAGTTTTATTTTATGACACTTACATTCTCAAAAGGCATTTTAAGTGAAAGTGTGTTTGGAGAAGGCACTGGCAGACCTACCGTAAATGAAACGCGTCATTCGAGGGCTACTAGCATTCATGATACTAACTGGAATTGTATTATTATTTTTTGTTTGTTTTGTTTACTATTTGTGAATGTATGAGCGCTTACTGACAGCCAGTTACCAGGTTATTATATCGAGACCAGGCTGTTTGAGTGTATTTTTTGCAATATTTCGGAGATCATTTTAATAACATTAAGGTGTGGGTAACGGTATAAGCACCTGGGAGAGAACGTGGTTGTTTATTTCTGAAGTATGTGCATGTGTGTGTGTTTGTCTTCGCTGTTTTTCAGAGGGGTATGATTACTCACGTAGCTCTGCGGCGAGCTTCCATTCTCTGTGCAGACAAGAACGTGCCTGTATCACTCTGGCGGTGCCTCGCTTTCCCTCTGCTGTTGCCAGCGTGGTTCTGCGTGAGAGACAGAGGAGAAAAACAGAGCGACGTAGAGAGAAAAAAAGATGGAGAAACAGTTAAAGAGGTGAGGGGGGATGTGAATCTCTTGAGGAGATACCTTGTCCATACACACCAACACAAACTGAGCTGAGGTAATGTTATGGTAATAATATGCTGATGATATGCTAATCCAGCAGCAGTATTCCATATCAGCGGTGTGAGAGGATTTCAGTGAGGTCCTTCACCAGTGGGTGGAAAGGAAAGACCTCCTGATCTCACTGTATACACACACACACACACACCTACATATTCACCAAACTGATGCACTCATTCGTTTTTCCATCTGATTGTAGAGTTTGGTGAGTCTAGACAGAAAGAGAAAGAGTTAAAGAAAACACTACAATTTGGCAAGCCTATTTGGTTTGAAAATACATGTGTATGTCTATGTTATTATGGCCACAAACAAAACATTACAGATGCTTTCACTACTCTAGCAAATCAGCATTCACATACAGAGCACACGTTGACAGATTAAGCACTGTGATGATGGGGAAGGAGGATGATGAACTGATTTAGTCCTGTCTGTTTTTATCTATTGCATTATTAGTTGTGCTGCACTCTCTCGGGTGGCTTCAGCCCGCAGCTCTTCACAAGTTATGACGCTCTTCGACGCATTACCACTGCCAAATGAAGATCATTTAATTACATTATTATGCAGGTGAGTAAATTGTTTACTAGACAAAAAGTGTCTTTAGAAGTTATTATAATGTTTATTTGCATGTTATTGAACGTCGTTCTAGTACATTACCATTTAAAAATCACCAAAGAATCCTGAAAATAAATCATTATGGTTTTCACAAAATTATTAAGCAGCGCAACCATTTTCAACATTGATAATAATACAAAATGTTACTTAAACATCAAATATTAGAATGATTTTTGAAGGATCATGTGACACTGAAGACTGGAGTAATGACTGGACAAATAATTGTATTTGTAATCAACATGCTGTATATAAATATATGTATATCTCCCCATTCTGCTGCCTTTGAACTCATCATAGTCACTAGTAAAAGGTTTGGGACTGTGCTTTCTTGTGGTGCCATCAGCCAGTCAGCATCGTCATGATGTAATTTCCTGTGATAAGGCACAGGTGATTAGCTCAAACACTTCTGTGGTCCCATGAACAACGATGACAGATTTTAGTGCCATGCAAATTCAGGCTATGCAGTTAAAATATTTTAGATTAAAACATTCCCAGAAAAGGGAGATACTAAGTTTATGCGGGGTCTGTGAGGCATTACTGGGCCTCTGTAGTGAGCTTGAATCAAAGCGTCTGAGCTTGGCTGCATTGTAAGGGCTGGAATGTGTGAGCACAGTGGCCTGATCACATTCTGTGTGAGTGATAAAGAGAAAGCCATTCCATCACTGAAAGCTGATGTTCTACAGAAATGTGTGATTGACAGGTCCCCCTCACATACACATACCTTAGTACACGCACAAAAAAAATCCTCTTGGCACAGTGGGAGCTTTCCTCTCCTGGAAGTGAATGGACCAGCTTTGTAATTGTCATTGGGGGTTCAGCTCATGTGTTTGTGATGCTGTCATTTGAAATATTATTATTAAATATTTAAAAGTACAACAATGAAAACAATATAATATATACATTGATATATGTAGTTCATATATGCATAGTTCATGCAGTTCTCTCCCAGACACACACACTCTCTCTCTCTCTCTCTCTCTCTCTCTCTCTCTCTCTAAAAAATGCTGGGTTGTTTCAGCCCATCTTTGGGTCAAATATGGACTAACCCAACTTTAGGGGTAAAAATTTAATGTAAAAATTTAACCCAACGGATGGGTTAGTCCATATTTGAACCAAAGTTGGGTTGAAACAACCCAGCATTTTTTAGAGTGCACACACACACACAAACTCGCAGTTCCTGCCTCCCCCAGCGTGAGCCCCCTCAGTGGGTGGGTGAGGCTGTGGATTCCCCCGGGTCAGTCCCGCCGCTGGACGCTGGGTCCATTCATCTGCCAGAGATCTTTTCTTCTCCACTACAAAGCAGCACTGCTCCCCTGACAGCAGCTCCCCTGCTACGCCGTATTTATCTATTGTGTTTAGTTAGACTCATCTGTGCTCCCTCTCCCTCTCTCGCTCTTTCTCTTTCTCATTCTCTCTCTTTCCTTCCAATTCATCTGTTCAACATCAGCGCACAAAACAAAAATAAATCTCCAAACTCTCGTGTTAAATATCAGATTGGCTGGGTGCATATTGAAGGCTGGCATTTCAAGCGAGGTCTCTTTTGTGTTGTGCAGCTATTGTATTAGTTCAGAGAGTAGGTGCGGACTAATGTCTTTCTCTCTCTCTCTGTCTGTCTTTCTTTGTGTGAGGTTTATTTTGAAGCTCTGTTCAAGAGTGAAGACAGACAGCCCCCCCTTCTTGTCGAACTCTTAAGCGCACTGTTTATTAGTGCTGCTGTACTGGTGAATGGTCACCCACATAGAGTTTGTAATTTTCGGATCTGGGTGTTACAAAATTGTGTTACTTATTAAGTATATGCAATTGGAGTGACGTTTTATGAAAAGTAATATGTTGTTACTTTTTCTCACTGCTGGCTGACTTTTTTTGTACATTAGAAGTACTGTTTATTTGTAAAAACTATCAGACTATCAGATGTTTTGTTCAGTTTTTATATTTATATATATATATATATATATATATATATATATATATATATATGGACAATATATATAAGTTTATTAGCTCAAAATTTTGTTAATTTTTTCACCACAAATAACAAAGCATTCAGGTTGATTTTCAGTGTTTAAAACATTTGTCATGTCACTGCATGCACGACACGCATTCTATTGACCCACAATAACCATCATGCTTGGTCACCTTAAATATGTCCCCTTTTTTCTCCCAACATGGGATTTGTCAATATAAATTAAATGTATTAAAAATATTGTAATTATTTTTAAATAAATAATTTGCTATATTTATAATTTAAGTAAATGTAAATAAATAAAATAAGTAACATTATTACCTAATGCTCATTAATTGTTACACTGTTGGCCAAAGCTAAACGACCCCCTCACTCATCCTCCTCCTCTCTCAGTCTTTGCTGTTCTCCATGTTCCTGTGGTTTCTCTGAATTTGTGAAGCAGTTTATGAAGGGATCCCAACCAGGAATGCAGTGAAAGTTTAGGATTGTTTGACATGTGTTGTTCTGTGACAGAAACACTACGTGTGAAAGTTGTTCTGTTCTGTGTGAAAAATAAGGTGTTTTAGTTGCCTGCATTCACATGAACACATTAGAGAGAGAGAGAGCGATAGATGAAAGATCATTTAAAATGTTTGTGAAATGGGTGAAGGTGCTTCAGGAATGTTTTCAGTCATACATACATACAGACAGATATCAAGGTTTTAGAAATGTTTCCTCTTAAATATTTACTTTCCACAAAACCGTACTTGCATTATTTCATTAGAACACATTCCTACTACACTTGTCGTAATCGCCATCTTGATTTAGTTTTGTATTTTTGTCCTCCTGGCTAAACCCCAGGCTTATGTCAGCCAATTAATTTCTTCTAAACAAGCTAGTTGTTCTTAGGTAAACCATTTGTATATCTGGTATAATTTGTTCACATCATATAAAAGGTGATTTAAAGGTGAATTTTCTGCAACATTAACAGCCACCTTTTTGGGAAGTCAACCTTCAAATGGTTTACTTATAGTTTTTTCTGCACACCAAAGCTATTTGAGTCTCATGGCACGTGTTAATTTTGGCCCCTGAATAACCTGCACTGTATCAATTACAGTTCAAAGATGCATAAATCCAGCTAAAGGTAACATTATACATCAGATATAGAACGCCATATAGTGAGATTGTTCTGAGCTCTCAGTTCTACTAATACAAAATCTCTCTTCTTCATTTTTTGACACTTGTCCTGCTATGAAATTCTCAGCGACCATTTGAATTACTGTAGATACGTGCTGAAAATCTTGTTTTGACCACTGCATAGAGTTAGGCATTCACACACATCAGTCTTGTACTTGAAAGTTAAAAAAGAGGCTTTCTAAAAAGATTTTGGAAAAGGAGAAATAAATAATTATATAAAGGGATAGTTTGAAGAATCAAAAGAGTTAAAAATACTAGAACAAGAGTTTTTCTTCCTCCATTTATCTCTCTCTCTCTCTGTGTCTCTGCTTGAGTGAAGGTACATTTCAGTCAGCCTGATCTCCTCTCACTCACAGTACAATGAGAGCTGCGCCCATAATGGCTGCTGGAATATCAAGCTACGGGGGGAAATGAGAAAGCAGCATCTTATGGGCTCATTCATCAAGAACTAATTGAGGCCTGGGTACTCTCAAGTGCTGATAAAAACGGAGGAGTATGTGTGTGTGTGTTTGCTTTTGTGTTTTCAGCTGGAATGTGAGTGTGTGTGTGTGTGTGTGCGCGCATTGCCAGTGAAGAGCAGAGGAATTCTGCTCCACAAGAGCTGTTTTCCTGGTGGAAGTGACTGCATGTGTGGCTGAGTAGCATGCGGGCAGAGGACCAATGGGGTTGCGGGGGGTTCGTCGGTAGCTCTGCATACTAAACGGGTCGGGAGCGAGGGGAAGGTGGGCGGCAGCATTAGACTTGCTTCACTGGACCTCTCATCTGGGGCTGGAGCTATTGTGCTCTACTCCACCTCACTGTATTGATCCCACCAGGCGGGAATTCTGCACCTCTCTCTTTTTCTCTGTCTTCCCTCCCTGTTCCCTCCTTTTACACTCTGATTTGCACTCTGCCACCTTTTCCTTCTTCCCTTCCCCTTTCTATTTACCTGTTTAACTCTCTTTCTTCATCGCTGCCCCCCCCCCCTTCAGAGCCATTTGACAGCAAGTCTTTGAAGCCTGAAGGATCATGTACACACACATCACCTTTAGCCACCTTTCAGTCGATGCTTATTGATTTTGATATCACAATGAAATATATTATTTTCCCTGAGCTGGCCACTCTCGATACTTTTCTTCCTCCATCCCTCTCTTTTCCATCTAATGTAATCAAGAACCAAAACTGCTCCACGTTCCTCCGACTGAATCAAATTGACCTGCCTCTTGAGTACGTGTGAAGCGAGGTGATGCGTCAGGTGCAGGTGTGTGAGTGTGTATGCATGTGCTAATGTGTCAAAAAAATTATAATATTTAAATTTTAACCAAAACATTAACCTAAAAATGCTATTGTTAAAACCTATTAATTTGTTAACTGGAACCATATATGGTGAAAATTATTTAAGTTTAAATCATGAGTTTTGTTGGAGTAGAAACGTCAGTAAGTGTAAATGATTAAGTTATGTATTTTAATGTTATCATTACGTACATTTGATAATCTTTTAATTCATAATGTGGCTTCATCTTTCTTCGTTTTTAAATATTAAATGTTTTATTTTGTGTGTTTTATGTACACATTTATGTATTATGTGTTTGACAGGAAAATTTGCATGCACATGGTTATAGAGGCTTGTGTGTCTCTCAGGTGTATGTTCTAATATGTGTCTGTGTGCCAGTGAGAATGTTTGTAAAGAGTGTGAGTGTGTGTGCATGCTAATGTCTTTCTCTGTGTGTATGTGTGTGTGCTTGTTTGTGTGTATGTGAAGTGATTGTTTGTTTGTATACAGCTTCAGTTTTTTCCATCACTAGGTCTATTATGTCTTGAATTTGATATTGATCTGATTTGATATGATGTCAATATGGTATTGACTTCAAGTCCTTTTCCTATTGGAAGAGGTGAGTGTATTCATACATATGAATAAGCCCATTATTATATAAGCTTTTGGCAATTGTCATTTCAAGTTAAAATAAAAAATAAAATCAAAACAATTCTTACTTTAATAACTAGTGACACTCATTACTGTTGAAATTGTGTATTGTTACACATCATAATTTTATGCACAAGGGATAGATTAATGAACAGATTAATCAGCTAATGGTTAGAGAGAGAGCAAGGCTTTTTTTTGTTTCACAATGTCTGTGTGGTAAGAGATCTCACACACAAAAACACATCAGTGGGGTGTAGTTGAATTTCAAAATGGATTTGGGTTTTTAGCTCAATGTAGATCCATCTGATGTTTACAGTTTCCAGGAGTATGCAACGACATTTACCTTACACTTATCAACAAGCAACCAATAATATATTTTATATACTTATATTAACATACTATAAAAAAACCAAGGTCATTTTTATATGACCAAAATGGATGATGTCCAGGCGAGTTGTGTTGTAGTTATAGTATAAATATTGTAATTATTCTGTTCATTTTCAGTTTGACTCATTCAGGCCGATCTGTGGACTGGTTGCATGTAACTCATTGATAGTCGTATGGAGGCCTCCTGTCAAGGTAAGCTGCCTCCCTCTGAAACTTTATCCAGTGGTGTCGCTCTTATTTATTATTTTATATTTATATGTTATTTTAAATATATTATTTATTTTTGTCCTGAGTGAAAGGGTCTCTGTTTCCCTTTCCCCCTCGGAGAAAACACCCCTGACACACACATGCTTGTATTGATTTGCCATCGTGCTGTCACTGCATGTCTGTGCCGTACATCTCTTAGCTACAAATCATGATTCAGAACAGGATCGGTACACACACAAAGACACCTGCGCAGAGACTCAGTGGTGTCAGTGGGAGGTGTGTCGTCTTAAGCTAACCTCCGCCCTTCGGGATATGACAATGGAAGGCAAAGTAGGATTATCTTTTCTTTCAGATCTTCTGTTGCAAAGCCTGAACAAAATAGCAGCTGAAGACAAATGGTTTAATCAGAACAGACAGTCCAATGTTTGATACACATTTCTGTGTTAACGTTTTCATGTGCACTTTGGAGGTGACGCAGTCACATGTAGGCAAATGGGGAGGTTAGTTTAACATTGACAGGGATGTATGGAATTAGATAAGAATACTGTGTGTCATAATTCTTTTTTTTCCCTTTCTTTTTTTAATAACCGTGTTGCTGTTTCTGGAGGTTAGGGTTGGTTGCTAGGGTGTTGCTAGTTTTTTTTTCAAGTTCAAAAGTTAAAAAAAAAATCTGTTTCCAATCATTTCTGTTCTTTTGATCTTTCTATTCATAAAAATCCTAAAAAAAAAAATAACAAATCAGTTTCCAAAAAACAATAAATAAATAAAATAAAAAATATTAAGAAGGGCAAACATTTTTCAACATGGATAATAATAAGAAATGTTTCTTGAGCTCCAAATGAGCATATTAGCATGATTGTATGGACCATGTAACGCTGAAGACTGGACTAATGGCTGCTGAAAATTACATCACAGGAATCAATTACATTTTTAATATATTAAAATAGAAAACTGTTATTTTAAATTGTAATGAAAAAATCACAATATTATTATATTTTTAATCAAATAAATGCAGTACTAGTGAGCATAAAAGACTTCATTCAAAATCATTTAAAAAGTTTTACTGACCTCAAATTTCATTAACTGATATTAAGAATCTCTTAAAATAAAAAAATTTGTGAGTATAATATAGATAGTGTTAGAAAAATAATATTATTTTTGTATTTTCTTGGGACAAAAGTCTTCTTACACAATTTTGCATCTCAAGTAAATTGATCGTTTTTCGGTTTGCATCTCAAGTGAATTGATCTTGTTTAGGGAAATAGATATTTTAAGACAAAAACACAAATTAGGATAATTCACCAATAAACAATTAGAACCTCCGAACTACATCACTGAAGTGTGATTGTGTACGAGTGCTTTCACAGCTCATTGTCGGTGTTGTGTTTTGGTCGGAATGACACTTGCCAGCCATGTAAAAATTCTTGTGACGGGGTGAATGTCAGAGTCAGCATTTTTTTCCCTCTCTGTTCTCTCCTCCTTCCTCCCTCCCGCTGTTTAATCCATCCAGCTGCTGTCACGGCAGGGGAGCAGCCAATCTATCACACCATCGAGACACATTCTTCTCACCTGCTCTGCGCCGGCACCGTGCCGTACCAGCCCTTTAATAAACAGCCAACATGATCCCGGCTGACAAGCAGGAAATGGATGCAATAAAGATTGTTTCTGCATGCTCTTTGCATTCCTGATAAATCACCTTACTGTTCGACAGACACCAGCCAGCGCCGTGCACAAATCTGATTTCACGCCGAGGGAGAGACACTAAGGGAAGGGGCATCGGGCCAAGAGGGGTCAGTTCAATTTAAATGCAGACTTGCTCGGACACGGTGCCCATGCAACCGCTGATTGCATGTGTGTGTGTGTGTGTGTGTGTGTGTGTGTGTGTGTGTGTGTGGTGGGACGCCCTGTGTGATGG